GCGTGCCGTTGCACAACCGTGGTGGGTTCAAATTACGAAGCAAAATAACCGAAGATCCAACCTTCAGTTTTAAATTATGCGATGGCATGCCTGGTAATTCCAATGAGTTTAAAAACTCTGTTGAATAATTTACAGCTTCAGTAGCATCGCAAACTGTATCAATAGATTTATATGACACCAAGTCTTCTGGTAACAAATGTTGTATCTTGAGATTAAATTCGTTGACGTCCACATTTTTTGCTGCTAAAATTGCCCTTTCTGCCAGCGACTTATGATTTTTTGTATTGTCTGTGTACATTGTGAAATATCTGGTCAATGAGAGTATCTTGCAAGTCAATGATTGTTCAGAAATCGGTCAGTAATTGTATTCCCGATAGGTTAGGCGTGGGTATTAGAAGATTAGGGATAGTAGGTTCAAAACTCACTATGTGTAAAACACTATCTAAACCTATCATCTATTTTTTTTGTTTTTTTTTTCCGAGCATTCATATTATAAACGACTGTCAATAAAAGTAGCAATGTGATGTAACATAGATTGTCTGTAACTTCTCATTTTAGGACATTAAACATCCCAGAGATATCTCTGGGAAGCCTTTGAGTAGTTAAATAAACCTCTCATGGCACAATGGGACCACTATATTACTTCGATAAGATTTAATATTGCACGTAAGAAGTGATTTCACATGTAAAGTATTTTTGTAAACATCACATTTAGTAACTTCCTGTTTCTGGACATTAAGCGTCCCTAGATATTCTCTGAGATATCCATGCGCAAAAAACATGATAGTCGCACATATTGATGTGCTTATTATGTCACATCGTCGAGATTAAATTTTGCACACAGGGTAGTTACTACTTACAAGTTATAGCTCAGTTATTAGTTATTACGTTAGTACATACTACTTAGTACAGCCAAATGGTTAATATTTCTTTCACATAATGCTAAATTATAATTTATACTTAATAGACTGTTGTAATAAATATTAAATGTTTTATGTACAATGTATAATAATATTATGTACTCATTAGCCTGAATTTCTACAGTTCTTTAAATGTATTAAGATTTTTGTAGAACTCAGGTGTATTTGCTTTTAGGCGTCTAATAACATTGAGTCGATTGTCAATAGATCTGAAATCGTAATTCGTATTATTTAGGCTCAAAAAGAGCAGTTTTCAGTTGACTTTGTCAAATGCTTTCTCAACATCTACGAAGGCTACGTAAGTGCTTTTACCTATCTCTATTCTCCTTTCTAAGATCCCTCGTAGAGATAAAATTGCCTCTCTTGTGCCTCTTCCACATCTAAAACTAAATTGGTCCTCGTCAATTCTTTCATCAACCCTTTTCTCAATCCTGTTTTTTACTATATTTATCAGTTTCTTGAATGAGTGTGATAGTAGAGCAATTGTTCTGTAATTTGAACAGACAGTGGAGTTTCCTTTTTTCGGTAAGGTGATTATTTCACTATGAGTTAAATCGGTAGGGATTGTGCCATATTCATAAGCTTCAGAGAGAATATTGAATAGAGAGTTTTTTGTGTCTTTGTCCTAATTTTTTACTATTTCCGTCGGGATTTTATCCATACCAGTTCCTTTCCTGTCCTTCAGCTCCCTTAGCGATTGTTCAAATTTTTCTTTTAAGATGTTGGGTCCTTTGGTATCCATTTCAACATCTTCTTATTATTCAACATACACATTTTCTTCTATTTCTTCACCTTCATAGATTTCTTCAATATACTCTTTCCATCTTTTCGCTACTTTCTTGTTATCAAATAAAATCATACCTTCTTTATTCTTGACAATGTTGCTTCTTGTTTTGGGATTAAACTGTAGTTTTTCACTTTTGCGTTTACCCTATTATTGTGTCTATTCATCATTAACTCGATCTCTTTACTGTTTTTTTCCATCCATTGTTCTTTTGCCTTCCTGCATAGCATTGTTATTATTTTTTTAACTGTTTATTCTTATCTATATCTATATTCCTCCATTAATTTCTTTCCTTGACTTTTTCTAGTATTTCTTGTATCATCTATTTTTTTCTAGGTTTTCTAGCACATTTTTCCCGATTATCTTGTCTGACACTTTGTGTATAGTGGTTTTCAATTCTTCCCATGATTTCATTTTGTGTTTACTTAATTCTTCTTTAAACATATTTACTGTGGAGCTACATTTCAATTTGTTGGTGCACCATTTTTTTTCAATCGTTTTGGGCCTTTTTTTGAACTTAATATTATATTTTGTGAGGACTAAATTGTGATCTAAATAAATCACTGTCTACATCGCGACCAAGGTATGTGTGACTAGACTTAATTTGATTCCTGTATTTACTTCTAACTAGTATGAAGTCGATTTGATAGCATCTTACGTCACCAGGAGCTTTAAACGTATATCGCCTATGGTCCGGAACTTGATAAAACGTGTTTGTTAAAACCATGTTCATTTGTACACAAAACTGTATTAGTAAGGCACCTCGATCGTTTTAATTCCCAAATTCGTATTTCCCCATGTGGATTGATGTTGACGTCTGCTCCTCAACTGATGCATTAAAGTCTCCTAATATAAATACATATGATTTCTTTTTAGTAAGACTCATTAATTCCTCTAGTTTACCATACATTACATTTATTTCTTCATCAGAACTGTTATATGTTGGGAAGTATACTTGGATAGTATAGATGTTAGTAAGCGCAGCTTGAAGTTTGATCATCATAGTTCTATCGTCCACGTAATAGGTATTAAGAACATTTTCTTTCCACTTCCCCCTAAGGATAACGGCTACACCATTTTTTCCACTTTTTTCACTTCTGCTGTAAATAATCCATACATCATCCTGTGTAAAATCGCCATTCCCTGCCCATCGTGTTTCACATATTCCTAAGATATCCAAATGTACTTCTTTCATTTCATTTTTGGCTTCTTCTAATTTGCCCGTTTTAAGGAGCGTCCTTAAGTTCCATGTTCCAATTCGAAAATCTGTACAAGGATTTCGCTGGATGACGACCTGAGAGGCCTTGTTACTTCCCCTGCCGGATCTTGGTATCCGAGGTCCATGATCAGTAATAAATCTTTGGTTTGGATGTGAATTCATTATTTGGTTGGTTATATGGTAGTTAGGAAATCTGTAGATCTTTAATGCAGTGGTTTCCCTGTTGCCTTCTGCATCCTTCAGCCGTTGACCATCTGATATGGTTCGTCCGCCTTTTCAAGATAGTTTCCTACCTTGAGGACAAGAGATTTCCCCACTCTACGCAGCTCATCCACCCCTAAGACTGTTGGCTTTGTAGTGGTGTTTCCTTATCCTGGGAAACTTTCGGTGTTCTTATTTATCGCCTTCTACGATAGGGGAAACAGCCTGTGGCCTTATTCTAACCCGATAGCCACACGGGCAATATATCTATATACATAAATATAGATAAAATAATTGAAAAATTATGATATGTAAGCGTGTGAATATTGTGAACCACGGTTTAAGACTATTAAATCTTACATCGTGATGACCAATGATGAATTAAATGTACTTATTATAGGTCTGCATGAGCCAAAAATGATAGGCCTGATTGGATTTTCTGCTGACGTCTAAGGCCCGGTTCAGAGCTGCGCATATCGTCCGCAAAATTTTCGAATTACATTGTTTAAGTTTATAGGCGCCGAACTGACGAGGGTTGTAGCGATCGTTGCGAACTTAAACAATGTAAGTTGAAAAACGCCTCGTATGAACGTTTGGCTGTGAAACGGGCTTAAAGCCTTAAAGATATTTTTTAAAGCCTGGCACGGCACTAATGAATGTTTTATCACTAAAATTCAATTTTTGTACAAGTTTTTTATATTCTGAAAAAACCCGGTCCGGTCTGTAATAGATATAAAAATTTAAAAACCTGACCAGGGGTCCGGGTCTCGTTTAAAAAAGCCCGGTTTGACCTGGATTTAAATTTTATGGACCTAGCCCATGCAGGACGAGTGTTTAGGGACAACACAAGAGCAAATATATTATCAATTATCATATCGTATTTCTTATCAATTATCATAATATTATAATCGTTAAAAACTTTTAAATCGCAAAACGTTTTTTCAGTTTGAAATTTTTTAATTTTTTTTTATGAGTTGATTTATTCAAATATGTTCGAGTGGACACATTGTAATCGTAAATTTAGTAAAAAAATGCAATTTGATTAGGCATATAAAATTACACATGAAGGGACCCACTATTAAAACTTCAAGGCCATTGATAGATGCAGAAATTGAATTAAATATAATTAATATGAATTTTGTTTCATTTCAGTGTAAATATACGAGTACTACTTGAATTTTCCACTAACTTATTGATGAAATCAATATTTTGATTTATCATAATTGTTTAGTTTGAAGAATGGAAATCAATTGTGAAGGGAAGTTCTTCGTTGAGGTTTGTTAAAAAAAGGTAGGCAAGATTTAACAAAAATAAAACTATAGCCACGAGTGTTTATTATTGGAATCGTTCTGGAATCTTTACAAGCAAGGCTACTGGAAAACGTGCCATGAAAATTATTGGTTATTATATGAACAGGAAAGCAATGCTACTTTTCATTAAATGAAAATCGTGAGCCAGCCAATAAAAAAATTGGAAAGCAGTTACTATTTTTTTCAACAAAGAAACTAAGGTTAAAAATACCTGAGGAACAGCGATTAAACAAGCCAATACTAAATGTAAGACAGCAAATAATAGATGACTTAAATGGAAAAGAAGAGTGTCCTTATGTTCATATAGATCCACATTTTGACCATGCATATGAACAATAAGTCAATAACTTGACTTGTAATTTAATAATTTTTATATATTTATTATTATTATAATTTTTATAAGCTACACTTACCTATATATTTATTTTTAATTATTTGCATATAAATTATAAGACAAAAATACTTATAATATACTGTATAATAAATTTGCTAACTATTTTATTTCACAAGTTAAAATCACAGTTTTAGTTTTTATTGTTTTTAAATTAATTAATTAATTAAAATTTATTTATTTATTATGGTAGTTTTATGACGATTATAATATTATGATAATTGATAAGAAATACGATATGATAATTGATAAAATATTTGCTCTTGTACTGTCTTTAGACGTTCGTCCGTGCAGGTATCTAGTACTTATATTATGAGACAGTACTGATGTATTTAATGTCATTAGTAAGCCTTTTCGCAACCCATATTATATCCGTATTTAGAGTCACAGACTAAGATAATATACCTTACGTGAATTATAAAAAAAAAAAAAAATATTATAGGTACACAAGGTGTGAAGAATGTTATGATGATATCAGGAAATCTGAATTTTAAGGCATCCCTCCATTTATCTTAAGCCATTTCGACCACTATTAATATTTAATGTAATAATAACAAGTTATGATAAATAATAGTTCTAGAAATAATAAAATTTATTTTTGCCTATTTGTACATATTTGTTAAATAAAATGCATATTATACAATTTTTTATCGCATATAAATCCTAACCCTAATCATTAGGTATGACGTAAATAACATTTGTATGCACCTATATTTTCCGATAAATATGAATACTAGAGTGAAATATGGCTACTACCCATAATATTATGATTATTACGCATATAATATTTTGTAATATTATGTGTTCACCGCTCTACCTATACATACTTTGTGGTTATCAATCGATACCAATAGAGGTTTGTACAACATCAGCCATAATTGGTTCAAAAAGCAGTGAACCTTAATTTTCAATAATAAGTATTACCTATAAGATATATATATGTGTGTGTGTGTGTGTGTGTAATCTCTCTTTTGCATTCTCATTTATAGTATTAATTATAGGTATATATATATATATATTGGTTCGATAATAATTTATACTTCATATTTATAAAAAAGTTAAACGTTATATTAAAATATTTCCATCAGAGTATTATACAGGACTAAAAAAGAATGTGTAAAATTTAAAACTGAAAATGAATCATCGTATATGAGGCAACGTAGAAAATATTTATTTGCATGAATCGATCATAAATCTTGATACAAGTATAAAGTACAAATTGTTGCTATATTTATTTGAAATAAATTGTCATCATTGAAAAAGTATTAATTATTTTCAGTACAACCGCTTATAAGCTCAAAAATCTAAGTTCAATAAAATAAGATACTTCGTAAACAGCTACCTTTATACAATGGTATCTATTTAGTACACTGACCGATTCAACATGAGGATAAAAATCTGGAGTTTTCAATACACGTGTCACGTGAAATACGTATTTATCCAAAACATATATCTGTTTTTATAATGATAAAAACTAGTAATTGTATGTTAAGTACTTGAAGTTTTAATAAAAAAATATTTGTACAGAATTAAGATAAGGTTATACGTTTTTATTTTGGATTTGAAATGTAACACGTGAATTCAGAACTGTAATATAAAACTTGAATCATAATTTTTCGTTTCTAATTTAATTTATATCAGGATATTAGTATAATGACAATGATGATATTTTAATGATGTACTCACTATGCCATTATAACATTTTACAACCACTCGAGTGATACAATAAATAACTATACAGCCTACAGGAGTATACAACGGAGATTTGATGGGATATTGATATATTTGAGTGCTAACTATTTTTTTCTTTGTTTCTTGAAAATATTTTAAAATCCAAATTGTATGCTAGGACTAAATACAATAAACACTTATAAACCTATTCAAGTTCAAATTTAACTTGGATTTTATTATTTTTTACAAAATACATACGATAACTCAACTTTTTTTTAAGCATCGAAAACGCTCTGCTGTATCATAATACAGTGTTTGGTATACCCAAGTATGTGTCAAAACTGAGAAAGATTAAACGAGCAAGACCCATTCCATTTATTGAGAAAATTTACTTACATTTGTTTAAAATAAGAAAAATTTGAAAAGAAAAGCGAACCATAAGATTAAATCGGTTTAAACCGCACTTGAACTCTAAAGAAGTTTTTAGTTTAGGCTCGGAAAATATTTAAAGGGAATAAGATCTCCGTCAAGGTTTATAATCAACAACGTTTTCTCGGTCACAACTTGAAAACAATTCATAAAACTATCATTATATTATTATTGACTATATTCGGGTACATGTGCATTGGTATTTTGTTAATTCGTGCGTTGTACACCAAGACCGAGTAAAAACAGTACATACTCTGTCCGTGGTGCTCGGTGTAAATTCTTATCTAGCCTGTAGAACAACAATAATATTACAACATTTCTGCCGGAAGAATGAAAAATAAACCGCTTTGCCATATTTATTCACAAGGTAGGTGCAGACATCAAAGTCGACGGGTTCGGAGTATCAAGTGTGGCGCAATAGTCTCGTCGTGGTCGGAGAGGAAAAACGGGAGAAAAAAACCGGTGACCAACCGACGGTAAAACGTAGGCGGGGAGGGGGATTTGAGCGCGCCCGTGATGTTAACAAACAATGTCAACGTCAATAAAAATATCGATAACAATGTTTAACGTTTTTGATATTTTTTTATAGTAACAACAACATGGACTTACGAACAACAATCACAACGATAATAGTCCGAGGCTGAGAACGTAGCAGCAGCAGCTGACCGATTACGAAGCCGCCTCGCGTTGATAATCATAAAAAAAAAAAATAATGTCCGCTGATAATGACGTTACCGGTCGGTTGCGTAAACGCGTTCGGCCAATTTAAAACTCATTCCCTCCACCGTCACATCGCGACGGACCGCGGCGCAAGAACCCTAATCCGTTTCCGGTTCGCCTTGCCGTGAACGCGCGCTCTGTTGCGCAACCGTTTCAAGTCCGATTCATGCTGTACGACCGGCGGTCACCAAAACCACACGCTAACCGTTCATAACCGCACATTTTACATCGTTCAACACCGCACATATTTATTCTATTGTTAAAAAGGGAAATTTGAAAGGTCGGTAATTCAAAACCGCACACATTTGGTTAACAGTTTCTTTCTCTCTGCACACTTTGCATGTACAGTTCACGTTGCCGGTTTCATATGAGTCCCACACAAAATCTTTTTTTTATCCTGGGACCTACTCATGATGATGTTACATAGCAAATCTGGAGATATTTACGTTTTTAACTGTCCGAGCGAGCGAGTGACCCCGCTCGGTCTCGAAATGCACTCATGTTATTTTAGATAAATATATACGTAATTTATATAAATATATATAAATTTGTGCAGTTTTGAACGATTTAATTTGGCGAAAATATGTGGGATTAAGATATAAAAGTGTGCGGTTTTGAACGATGACTTGTTTTTGAAAGTATATGGTTATGAACGACGCCCGTTACGGCACGGCACTGACCGTCACAGCACGTACAGCCGCGTTTATCCGGGGGGGGGGGAGGATCAATTGCCCCGAGGTGGCAAATTGTTGAGGATCACATAAAATAAAAAATAAATAATTATAATTTTTCTTGTACGACTGTAACGTACTATTTCGTTCATAAGTTCACCACGAAAAAGTCGCAGATACTACTGCTGCATGTTACAAGGCGATTAGAATTATGAACTTGTTTTAGCCGATTGTTTTTTGTCACAATTGTTGATTTCTTACATTTATGCGTGAGGTTTAATTGATAATTATAAAATGTAAATATTAGTAATAATGTGCTATTTAAAATATACATAATACGGATATTAGTAATTTGTAAATGTATTGCTCTTGCATTGCAGGGGCGATTTTTATCTCTTACCAAGGGAGGGGCTAATGGAGGTTCAAGTAAGAGTATTCCTTGTTCCTGACAAGCCACAAGCAGGTAAAACTTTGATACAGCTCAATAAATTCTTTCAAATAGTCTCGAGGTGTTTGTTCTGCCACGATCAATTGAATTGAATTGAATAAAAATAAAAAACAATTGTCAGCGAAACAACGAACTATATACAATATTCTCCGTGAACGGCCAACGCAAAATAAATCAAATTTTAGCGATAAATGGTCGCTACATGTTTACACGTCCTATCTTATCGTTACGATTCACAGAAATCGATGCCGGTCGGCATCAATCATTCGATCCAATTTCAATAAATCGCTACTATGTCCTGTTTATACGCAACGATAAATTGAAACAATTCGATCGTTAATTTTTATTTCATTTTAACAATTCAGTAAATTTTTAGCATTTATTGCTGATTAAAAATACTATGATTAAAAATTATTCAAAATTGGTACCATGTGGAACCATATGTATTTATTATTTTCCCAATAATATAACACGAAACGTCAGTCGTCGAACGAAAACCAATCCAAAAATAACTTGAAGATTAATTATTCAAATATCCATAAATAACCATATTCATCAATCACGATTGACGATATTTTATAACAATTATTAATATAATAATATACAATACATAATATTTGGCTTTGTAAAATAGTTAGCTTAGTTTCAAGGGGGGGAGGGGCTAATTCCTCTTTAGCCACCCCCTTAAACTCACTCCTGTTAATACGGTACTGACTGAAGTGTGGTGTATATAATTTTGAATTATAATTATCTTAAGGGCGGCAAATTTCAATTAACGTGGCACTGTGCACTAACAGGCACGACGAAATATTATACGATTAGTTTACATGAGGTAATTCACATTGATGCGACCGGCACCGAAACGACAAAACATAATCCGAAAGAATGTTTTGATGTTGCGTTACGTGCCTGGTCCGTGTCGGTGTAGTGGGAACACAAAAATTATTATTATTATTATTATCATAAACACGGTAAATTTAATTAAATAAAAATGACATTAAAATAACAATTTAAAATCAGGTGATTCAAGTTTAATTCGAACGAAGTAAAATCACATACAAATTATAACAAGTTATTATCCAGATTGAATGATTTATAACCGAGTACAAAGAATATTTTGATTTAATAAAATATCTGGAAAAATCGTCTTATTAAATTTTATTGCCTAAAATAATATAAATAATAAAGTGCACTTGCAGACCTAATGTTTAAAAAAAAATAAAAATAAGATAACAGAAATTGTAATATTATAATATCATTTGAACCATTTATTTTTTTTTTTTTTTTGTAAATTAATTAATTCAAATTTTTTCTTTTAATTAAAAATAAATCATAACTCAATGCGAACTCCAAGTTGTAAAGAAAAAATTCGGTGCCGTAAGAGTGCGAATAGGATTTTACACCGACGTAGGTACGTAGGTACTAACCGTCGACGCGCGTCAGTCCAACGCCGTTCCCGTCGCGCGCTCGTTCCTTTTAGCTTTCCCTTCCTCCCCGTCGCACGGTCTCTTTCACACCGGATGTTCCCGCGACGTCCGGTCGTCCTCTCTCGCTTTCGCCGCGCGCAACGCTCGTTTCGTATCAGTCATCTCCCCCCACCCGTACGCAGCGGCTGCGGTCGCGGAACGACCAGCACTCAGTCCGACTAAGTCAGTCGTTTTTCGTCCGGCGTTTCGTCCGCTTCACTTTTCGCGCGTCGTGCCAGTGCGTGTCCAGTGCTGCTCGTCCACTGTTCGGTTTCAACACCGACGTTTTTTAATCCCCCCGCGCAGACAATGGACAAGTTCGCGCTGTCCGCCGTATTCGTGTGCTTGGGTAAGTGTACCGTTGTTGTGATATATCATTACCGCCGATGCCGTCGTTAACGGGCAGGTAACTTGGGCTTGGGCCAAACGTTGCCTCGGGCCTCGCACTTAAATAAACTCTGGAGCCCGCAATGCGTCAAGTCTGAACGGTTAGATACGGTTTTTGGCGTAAGGTTAGGTTGTCTCGGATACCGTACCGCTTTTGCCTAGAGCCTCTTAAAAGTATCCAACGGCACTGATTATCATACATACTTCTTTTCCACTGTTGGCGTCCAATATAACTCATACATTTATAATATTTTGTCTCTATATTTTTTTCTCTCTCTGCGTTTCAGCCGTGACCAACTTCGCCAGCTGGGGCGTCAACGGCATCGAAGGGGAAACGGACCTGAACGATTTGCAGGACACCGTCAAGAAGACCCTGATAAGCAAGCTGCCGGACGCTGATATATCCGTCTTGGAACAGTTCAACAGTTCTATACCGGCTTTGGACGAAGGCGAACGAGTGTTGAAAGAGAAATGTTTGAAAAACAGTCAGCTAAACAATTCTTTCGAAATTACTATGGTAAGAACCTTGGTTTTATTGTCCTCCGGACCGTCGGTCCACAATGAGGAATAGGTGTTATTTGTACGTTTTCTATAGATAGGTGCCTATCTCATTCTACTACTATTATTTTCTAGTAGTTTACATATATTTATAATTTTTAATATCGACCTCGTGTCTTGTTATCATATTTATGTTCAAACTATTCCGTGCATTCAATTTTATAGTCTAGCTTTAAACTGATGTACCTAGCAGATAAGTATTTACAAAGAAATTCTTTGTTTTTCATATGTATCATATAACACAGTTTTTACTACTTAATGTAAATATAAAATATAATTAAAATTAAAGTTAGTTGTTAATCGACTTTTTATTCTTAAATTCAACTATTGTTTTTAATGTTTCTTAAAGATTGTGTTTCTAAATTTAAACCTAAAATCATAAATTTACTATTCTTAAATATGACTGTACGGCATCTAAAAATATATCCTCTAAGAAATGTTTACTTCCTGTAGATTTTGATGATTTACATAAGAGTAACATAGATTTGCTTGAGTAACAAGGATTTAAACTACAAAAATATAATTTGTTTTTCTTCTATCACTTAAAACTCATGAAGCATTGTTCTTATATTTTACTTTGAATATTTAATTAATTTAAATTTCACTCAAATTTTATAAATTTGATAACCTCTATAATCAATCTTATTACTTTTATATAGTTTTATTTTTATCATTATGTTTTGAAGTCTTAGTTATGTTCAATAAAGTAATAAATATATACAATCATATTTAAATATTTCAGATATACCTGTAATATATTTGGGTATTCCATTAATTAGTGATCAATTTATATACTCTTTAACTAAAAATCTTATGGTATCCTTTTATTCGAGTTCTTGTTGGTCCAAGTTAATTTTATCAACAAAAAAAAAAAAAAACCTTTTTTACTAGAGGCTCTATTCTAAATTTGATTTAATGTTAAAAATACATACTTTATAGATACTCCATTACAATAAAATTTGTTATTAACTGGGAAAACTGTAATATTTATATATATGTTTGGATAGTTTTAGAAAAAGGATAATTTAATTATATTTTACTATATACAGATCTACTTCTAGATCAGTTGTTCCCAACTGGTGTGCCATGATATTTATAAATTGTTTTATAAGTATGTATTTACCAGTTTATTATCGATATTCGATGAAAACTGAAAGAACTAATCGTAGATACATATAATATTATTTATTATAAGTATGCTTGTTGCAGCCATCTTGATCGATCAATTGTATTAATATATTTCACAATAAATAACCCTCTAATAGAGTAGACTGTAAATAGTGTACATATAACCATATATAAAATAAGGTTCATATAATTTATGAATTAGTGTGCCACGAACATTTTGTTGGAGATGAAGTGTGCCACATTGTTAAAAATGTTGAAAACCACTGTTCTAGGTCTATAATAGATACATATATTTTAAACGATATTCATTTTTTTTTACATCCTCACGCATTCTGTCAATTCTATGTCAAACGTCAAAAGGTTACATTCAAAATGTTTATATTGTCTAAAGTGTTAAGGTTAGATTAGAAATAATTTTATACGGTGATTAAGTATTCTTAAATTTTCTTAATTTTTTCAATAAAAACAACAAACACAAAAAAAAAAAAAATAACTAGCGAAATCAGTTCAGCCGTTCACACATGATGGCATGACCAAGGGAAATAGGGATTCATTTATATATATATATAAGATTAGTACTTCATTTATATATGTATATTTAAATAGTTTATTATTATTTGTCATCAGTCACTGGGAATAATTAAAAAGAAATTTGAACATCTGCTTAACTAGATAATATAATTTATTTAAACCAGTAAGTACTTAAGAATTTTCAGTAAGAGTTAGCTTTAAAGTATCCCCTTTCAATATATTAGATATAATTAAATTGCCTATATACTTTTTTTTAAAACTTTACTTAGTTCTAAATATATGAACTATGAAGTAATATTTTATTATTTTTAAAGATGAACTGTTTTTAAGTATTTATTTTGAAATAATTTATTGATATATCCAATTGTTTAAACCAGCGGTTCCCAACCTTTTTAGTAGTGCGGACCATCAATTTCATAGAAAATCTTTGAGGCCCACCAATAGTTATATATGTATAATGTGCATTTACGTCAGTTATTACAATTTATTTATTAAAAAAGAATTGTTTATCAAAAAAAAAAAAACTTCATTGAACCAGATTATTCAAGAGTTAAATAATTTAATGTAATTTTGGATTGTCCCCCATAAGAGAATCAATATCTGGATTAAAAATGAAAAGTTTTAGCCTTCAATTACTCAAAATTCAATTTATTTCTACATTTTTTTTTTAAAAAAATTAGAGTAGAAAAAGCTCGTTCACACAGACACACAGGTTGTTGAAATACAGCTCATCAAGTTTTTAAATGAAATTTTAGAAATTGCTGGAATGTTTTGCAGAATATTTAACTATAATTGTGTAGTTTTAAAAAACGATTTTAAAGTCTGATCACATGAAAGTTCAATCAATGAATCTTCTTCACTTGCTGATATTTAATATTTTAAAAATATATGTAAGTAATGTTAATATAATATGGTTCACAGCCCATTTGTGGGCCGTGGTTAGTGGTAGGCCCATGGGTTGGGAACCGCTTGTTTAAACTGTTAAATTTGACATAATCAAATTTTTAAACTAATATTTATTTTTAGATTAAAATGTTGTCTAGATTTATTAATAATTACATTTTTTTATACATTTTTTTTTTATTATCTGATATTTAGATCAAATCATTACAATTTTTTTAAAAACTTACCATTTAAACTATTTAGAGTTCAGACTGACTTGAGATATGATTGAATATATAAGGAAACATATTATATAGATATAAATGGGTATAAATTACAGTTTTACAATTTAATATTAAAAATGATTGTAATAAATAAGGTAATACATTATTACATGAAGACATTTTAAATATATATTTATACTATTATTAAATCTTATTTTTGTTATTTAATATTTGCTTGAAATGACCTAGTTATTAACATATTTAATTTCCTTTATTTTGTGCTTACATATCAAAATAAATTATATTAAGTACACATTATTCATATTTAAGGTCATTAAAGTGTATCATGAAATGTACTAATCTAGTAGAAAAAATAACTATTACATTAACCTAGTGAATTCTCTTGGAACAACTGTTTTGTTTATTCATATTTTATTAAAATAATGTTGAAGATGATAAGAAAAATTGGTGTTTAAAAATTAATATTAAAATATTAACCTCGAAACACTTTGTGCTTGCAAATTTTAACCAAAAAAATTGTATGAATATAAATGTTTTATTGTATAGTACTTCTGTGAGTAATATAATAAATGTTTAAATTTTATTTAGGAAGTACAAATGTTAAATATCAAACATTAATGTTAGATATACTTTGATGTAATAGGTTTTATAATAACCTTGATGATTTTCAACATTTTTTTTTTAACTCATGACTTAAATTATTTATGACCTTCACTCATACAACATACATATAAATATCTACATTAGTATACTTGATCTTATTATAGTGATTATGCATTTATAAAATTATTACTGTTAGAGTATATTTTAAATTCTATAACTGGGTACTCAGTATAGCTTTATACAATTTCATTCTGTGTAGTTTCAAGGTATATTCTGTACTATGTTTTATCATGGTTATAGAGAATACTACTACTCAGCAGGTTACGTTTTTTGTAGTAGTTTTTTTTTTTAATTTAATGTGTACACCAACATAGGTCATTGAATAATAAATGTGTTGTTCAATTTTAATTTTGGCTCTTTTTAAAGATTAATGTTGTTTAATTTAATATGAAAATTAATAAATAATTATCTAAATCATTTAATTTAATGCACATTAAAAATTAAAAATAATGCAATAGTGTATGATAATTATTAGTAAAAAATATTAATACTAATAAGATATTAGTTAAGAAAATATTACACTCATATATATATATATATATATATACCGTATTGGAATAATATCACAGGAATTATTTCCTGTATGTAATATTATTCATTGAAAATCCCTGCTTGTTTATTTCCAAAATTATATTTTACCAACCATTCTTTAATTGTGAAAAATTCTGTGTCTTGTGAAGATATCTTATTTCACTATTGTTATTTGTAATTATAATAAAATTAATAACCTCCTAAAGCAATATTAACTATTCATTCATGTTATTTCCATTATTCTTAAAATTTTAAATAAATAATAAAAGTTGATATTTCTTAATTAATTATTTTGTTATTTTAATTCTAGAATTATATAGATATAGAATAAATATAGATATTAAAGATATCCAATTAAATTTTTAATTTATTAGTTAGATACAATACTCATTTTATATGAGAAGTAATGTATTAATTATGAAATTTAATACTTATGCTGTTATCTCATTTATTTTTTCATTTTTTGTCTCCTATGGAAAATATATCTTTAATAATTTATAAAATATTTCCCCTCATTTTCCAATCAATAATTAATTTATCATTTTTATGCATTAGTTAATAAATGTATAATAAAAAATTATATGTTCTTGCCTTTATTACTTTTTTTTTACTTGACTGCCATTTTGGCTTATCATAGTATTTAGACTCAATATGTATAAAGTATATGTATAAAGTATTAAATTATATTATGAACATTATCTTTGTTCTCCCAATTTGTATTATATTTATCTTGAAGATTTGTATTCATCTTACTTAACCATTGCAGTTATTAACTATGCTATGTATAAATATTGATATAAGTATAAAACATTAATACTTTTTAGTATATTATACTTTGTAAATTTGAATCTAACCTATATTGTCTGACATTGATTAAACAATAATGATTTGACTCATCATTATTGTTTTTATATATCACACACTTGCATAAGTTATTTGTTATGTATGTAATTAAGAAAAAAATTTCAAAAAGATATTCAAAATATTTATAATATCTCACAATTTGTTCTTTAAAATGTATTATAATTTATCTTATAAATGTGATATTCATTTATGTTCACATTACTGTACTTAGACTAATGACAAGATTAATATCTTAGTGAACAAAATATAATTAAAATAATTAGAATTGAATTATGCAGTATTGCATTATAGTATATGATAAAATTCCGTCTAATAAATAAATTATTAATGTTTTTATATTAAAGCGTGCCAGATATTTCAAGAAATTTTCCTATTATCGTCTAGCCAACACAATGAACATTTATGGGCTGTATTAGCATAATGGTTAGGAAACACTGATTTAGTGTATGTCCATATTAAAAACTTAAAATATATAAATTCATAGAAATTTAAATTCAAAAAGTATTTTCTACCGAATTATTGGCCGTTTCATTCAATTGAATAATATACATTTATATATATAATAAATTATATAAATTATAAATAATATAATATAATTATTATAATAATTAGTAATATATAATTATATAATTAGTATAATAATATAATTATTATATAATTAATAGCTTAGTTTATACTTAATACAAACATAATTAGTCATAATAACGTTAATTTTATTAAATAGTATGTGCTTAATTTATAGAATAACTGAGTAAATGTTTATAAATCTATTACAATAACAATTATACCTTTAATCTAATTATAAACTCCTTTGTAAGTACCAATAAAACATGTTTGTAAATTGATCTGATTAAAAGTTAGTTTAGTTGCAAAAATATTACAATAATAAGTTGAAAAATGGTTAGTTAATTTCATTTTGAATTATTTCCTTATTTTTTTTAGTGTATAATATGGTGTGAAATTTATATTATTTATACTAGAATGTATATTATATGTTTTTATGTATTATATTTTTTAGTTATAGCTGTGAAGTAATTTTTGATATATTTATAAATACTACATTACTGAAATTAGCATATGAAATTAAACAAGAATAATTAGGGGACTAATTCAATTGTATAAACATATATGTTTTATTTCATATTTTTTATATTCTAAATTGTATTAGATTTAAAATATATACCATGTCATCATCAATAGGATGTCATACTGTTCCAATTGTATTTAATAGAATTTGTTTTATTTTTCATATGCACATGTAACAATACATTTTTGTTTCTAATAATCTAGTCTTGCAATTTTTAGGACAAAAGTGAATTTACCTATACTTCAAATTTAGATTATACAGCTTTAATTGTAATCTTATTTTGAGATTTTTAAATTTCAATGATTGGTATATGTTGTTTTACTTATTTATTTCACCATAGTATTATAATAATGCTAAAATAATAAGTATACCGTTGTAAAAATATCTTTTTTTTTAGATGTATAATTTATTCTTTGTTATTATATATGTGATCATATATAATTAAAAATTAATATGTACTATAATCATATCTTCTAATATTTATGTATGGAAAATAAACTCTTTCATATATTTTTTTTAAAAATGTTTAATATACCTATACAAAAATATTTCTAAGAACCTAAAATAGAAAAATTGTAATACATAGATCTTTGGATTAAAAATATTTATGAAATATAATCTATAAATATGTAAGCTTTTTTTTTTTTAATTTCCCTTTGTTCGCACATTACAGCAAAAAAATATGTAATTTATTTGTCTGTATTATTTAATTTTATTCAAATTATATTTGTTTATGTATTTAAATCAACCACTGTAGAATCTACAGTGTAGATATTATGTAGGCAACATTACAAAATATATGCTCATTAAGGTTATCAAGAAATTTATGAATTTCTTAATGTTTGTTTTAAGTTCTGAATTTTGAACTTAAGAAATTGTGAAACTATTATTTGAATGTATTGTTTCTTAAAAATTTATATTATATTTTATTTTAATAAATATTCTTGCAAAATAAATATCCATATTCATCAACATCAGTTTCATGATCAGTAGGTATTATTATGTTTTGAATTAATTAATTATTTATTTTATAAGTAAATTATAAATATATATGTGTAAGTAATATTCCTATGCATATATAAATCTATAGTTAACATTATAATAGTAAAAAAAATATGTTTTTATTCATTAGTATTAACACTATAACTAAATACCCATTTTCTAAACATATTTTTTATAATTCCATCTTAAATAGGAAAAAAATTTGTTAACTTGTATATGTTTATGTATTGAAATCTTAGTAAATTAAATATCTGAATTTGTGAATAAACTATTTATATTTTTGTACCTATTTTTCAATATTGGCTTTTTTTGAGTTTGAGTTTTTGAGTTTTTTTTTAAAGTCATATATTGATATTTTTTACTACTGGTTAGTATGAATATAATTTAATATTTTAATATTAACAACTGCAACTATATATTGATAACTATTGGAAGGGCAGACAGGCTTAAGGTATTTTAAACTTTTTTTTTAGAAACTAAAAATGTAATAATATTTCTAAAATAGGTAAATCCAAAATTTAGGTTAAAAATATAAAAATTCAATATTTCTTATATATTAAATATTTATTTTCCTATTGTCTATAATCACAGTTTAATTTTGTAATTTTGTTGTATTCTATAATTAAAGCTTATGTGCTTTTTATTATTTATTTTAGGATGCCAAAAGAGATTTTGAAGGTTGTGTGACAAAATTAGTTGATGTCAATACCCTAAAAGAAGAAATTAAAAAAGCTGAACCCCATGGTGATGTTGATGTGGTGTTCAAAAAATACTGCAAGTGAGTAAAATTTATTTAGATTTGAAAATTGAGTTAATTAAATTAATTTAAAATTTATTAATATGAATATATTTTTTCAGAAAGTCACCAGAATTAAAAGAATGTGTTATGAATTTCACTTCTACTTTAGATATATGTTTGGATAAAGAAGAAAAAGACAGTAAAAAAATTCTTCAGAGTGTTACTGAAGCTTTATTAGTTTTTGTGTGTCACGATGATGGTGATCGTATAGCTTGTAAGATTTGTTTTTATTACTTAAGCATTTTAAATCCATTTATAACAGACTGTGCTGTAGTTTTATACTTCTGGTTTAATTTTTACCCTAAACAATATCTTTATAACTATTTTTTGTAGTGTTAAATTATTTGTAACTTAATCTATCCATTACTGTTTTATTTTACCCACTATGCCTTGTGGCTATTGGTTAATTTCTTTCACTAACAATCTTAAATATTTCCCTGTCCAGTTATTTCATGAACTGTTGCAACTATGACCAGTATTTCAAAAACTGTCAAGTTTTCTAAATATTATCTGATCATATACATGTATATTTTAATGTTTTGATTATTTATTTTTGTATTTTTTGAAAATGTTTGCTTAAAATTCTGTTTCGATTCTATTTTTTTTACATCATTTAATTACATTTTGATATTTTTACATAAACTATGATTAATGTTTTCAGTCTCTTTTTTTTTTTAAGTTGTACTAATATAATAGATGATATAAGTATACATTTAATAATGTAAGCTATTTTATTTTAATAATTTATTTTTCTTTCATACAAATATAATACATTGTTATTCTAATATATTCATCCTCAATATTCATATTTTGATAGTTAATAATTTATTTAATATTTAATTAATGAAATGCTATTTTATTCTAGTGTTTTATTCAGAAGGTGGTCCAGATTGTTTGATGAATAAACGAGAAGCTGTCAATCATTGTTTTAATACATCTTTTGGTAAATATATGTCTAATGCTGAACCAAACATGACTAATTTGCCATCATTCAAATTTGAAGAAGATCAGTGCAAGTGTGTTATAAGAATAAAATACTTAATAATTGGTTTATAAATTAAATTTGTTAACTTTTTATTATTTTTTTTAAAGGAGTATGCACGAGCTTCAACTTTGTGTTGTTAATGAATTAATTAAATGTTCTCAACCAACACCAGGTAATATTATTGAGTCATTGTTTGAGTTTGTACGTCGATCAACACCTTGTTCCAAATTTGTTAACTCTGAAACACAAAATGGATCTGAAGATACCCCCCTACTATCAATGATCTCAGTGACAGCCTTAGGTGTTTTAACAATACTTCTAGGCCGTATTAACTATGAATAAATTAAGTATACTTATCACTGGTAGTACTTACTGAAAAATGAAATAACTTTATGCAGTGGCTAAGTGGCTTACAATCAAAACCCTTCATATACCGTGACATTTATGTGGATCTATATCTTTGTACAATAATCATCTATATTTAAATTGTTTAAATGTAATATTAGTTTCAAAAACATGTATAATTACATTACTTCTTAGTTAGTTATCCCTTGTTTGTTAACTCTAGAAAAAAGTTTAGAACCATCATATTATAATAATTATAATAATAGTGTTATATGACTTGTCACCACTTGTTAAAGACCAATTATCAATTACTCATATCATTGTCATAAATGGTGGACATGAAGATAGTTTTTATATTATTTTAGTTGTTAATTTCAAAATTTTCATTTATTATACTTATTACATTTATCCTAAAGACGACTGTATTATTTATGGTCATTAAGTTTTGGTGTACAGGATCAACTCATATTTTATTTTATAAACGTCTGTGTTTTTTTATTATAATTTATGTTTTGTATATTTATATATTTATTTTATAATATGTATATTAGCAAAACAATGTATAATACTTGCCGTTACATTTGTATTGCATGGCAATAAATATATTGTTACCAACCTTAAAATAGTATTTGATTACTATTTTATATTTTAACTATAATTGTGAATTGTAATACACAATATTGAATGACATTTTTTAAAAAATTTATTTTATTGTGCCTTTTGTACCTAATTTCATATCTCTATTATTAAAGTTTAAATTTGTTTACCTATGTACATTATATACATAAAAACACAATGTTTGTTTTCTATGAATATAATTATGTTTAATAAAATAAAATACTTATTATTTAATACACAATATTAATTACAGGTTACTTGTAACTATTTCTGTTAGATATTTACATTAGGTACTAAATATTGTAAGTGTAAATAATTGGTACAATTTATCTTCAATATTTTTTTTGTACAATAATTCGCCATTATGTTAGTTCAGCACCCTAAGTAAAATAGTTTCTTCTTACCACATCTAGCCAAATACTTTTGGATAACTACTGCGATAATTAAATGTGATTATATTTATGGTGTCCTCTTATGACTACGTGTAGTAAAACCTAAATTATATTAATTATGAATACGAACTAATAACGAATGATGCTAGTTTGAAATTAAATTGCAGACCTGAAAAGTATGCAGATCATTAATAGGGTTAAATGTTAATGCACTTTAAATTTAATATTGATTAAATATATATGTAATATATATGTATATTTAATCAATAGTTATATGTATGAATTTATGCACTAAAAATTTGAACTATAAAAAAAATGTATATATAAATTAAAATAGGTTTTACCTTTAGTATTAAAAATTAAAAATATATTATTTATAACTAATTAACATTCATTAGTTTTTATAATTTAATTTTTTTAATATTATATACTAAAGTACAATTTAATTGAACATTTCTGAGACCATAACTCTTTTAATTAAAGTAATTGATAATGATGAAGTATTTAACAGTAAATTCCCAATTTGTACGTGGTGATTCCAGTTATAATCTGTATTAAAGTAGAATAATAATTCACACAACATGCAATTTGTTTTTTTTTAATAATAAACTGGATTTTATTTTTACTTCGTTTCATAATTAGTATTCGTACAAAACAATATGATGTGTATACTTTGAATTTTTATTTATCGATAATATTAGTTTGGGAGCCTAGTTTGGTTGAGTTGAGTTTAGTTGAGTTGGTTGAGTTTAGTTTTACAACTGTTTTATTTTTAATTTGATCATAGTTGAAATCTAAAAATATTTAGGATATACACAATTATATGCATCAATAATTTATCTTTTACTGACCAGTTAATTTAAATTATCAATTAAAATTTCGAAAATGTACTGAAATATACATATTTAATTAATTTAAAATTTTAATTTTAATAATTAAAAAAAATTATAATAATAATTAAATTTTTTTTAAATTATTTAAAAAAAATCCCAAAAATATGCATTTAAAATATAAAACCATAAATATAAAAAATATGCGAAATAACAATAATGTCATTTGATTCAGTAGAACGCAAATCGAATTTGTATCCAGGTCCGCATTAAATTGGATCAATAGAAAAAAATTAAAATATCTGAGTCCTAGTCATCAATATACAAAAATCGTTCAATCATAGATTATTAAATTTGCTAAGTCCGATTTATTTCATAATCAATATTAATATACGAGTAGATTTCTTATAAATTAGAATCAATAAAATAAAAAACTTTCCGGATTCTAGTGAATCGGTGTTCGTCGTTATAACAGTCGTTAAACATCCAAGCTAGCTCGGAATAAAAAACTGCTTTTAAATGTATCGAATTATTTGTGTTCATAGTTATTTTGTTGGTATAAAATATATAAACACAAAGAGATAACTTTATTAGTATGCTGTGACTCAACCAGAATTAGTTTTCCGGGGGGGAGGGGAGAGAGGAATGCATTTTGAAAAAATAAGCATTTTCTGAAGGTGTTTGGTGGGATAAGAAAGTAAGATTAAGTTAGGTTTATGAGTAAAATATTTAAATTACAAATTAAACTTCTATTTCATATAGTGATATCACAAAAAAAAAGTACCTATTATACAATCGACTAACGAAAAATCACAGTAGCAAGGTTATTGATCTTTTAAAGCTGATCGGAACGTTACAAAACGTTCCATATCGTCATGTTATTATTGTTATCTATTATATTACGAATAATATTCATATTTAATATCAACTAGCCATTTCGCGTATTCAAGATAAACCATTTTTTTTCCTACGTAGAATTTGTAAAAATCTCAGAAAAGTTTCGGGGAGTGGGGTTACAAGCCCCAAACCCCACCCTTAGTTGCACCACTGTTAGTCTGTTTATTGAATATTAATGAATCGCATCCGTTCATTGATTTAAAATAATGCTCCTTAATATAATTTTATTATCGAGAACAAACGACTAGATTACCGAAACAACCTTCCTGCCAATATTGTGACTAAAGTGTTGTTTCAAACTCGGTAAGAAAAACATGGCTCGGTAATCTCAAATTATCTCAAACTTCCACTATCCGGTTTACTTCCCTCTCTTACAAAACTCTCACGCACAATGATACTTCTTTTTGTACTAAGCACCTCGAAGAAATGGTTTTTTTTTATTTTTCTCAAGTTACGTAGGTATATTTTCGTATGTCCTTCCTCATCCTCCGATCTATATATTTTCTTTAATTTTAAAATTCTCAAATCATCCAAATTAACCTTTCATTCGTTGTCAGATTTAATTATTTAATTTTATTAATTGTCATTTCATTTTAGAATTATTACCAATTTATTTGTACAAGACAGTGATGAATGTCATTTAGAATTAACAAATCTACAAATATGTCAATACCAATAATACAATCATAATCAATTACTAGTAACGATAAATTGAATGAAAAATTACTATAGAAAAAAAATTATTTGTTTATTATTTGCTGTTCGAATTGGCCGAGCAATGCACAAATTGACCAGTAATTCATATTTTCTTTGACATATACCAAATAGTTTATCAACGTAGAATGAACTAGGTTTATATAAAATTGTTCAATCCATTCTAAAACTGTCTAACACTTAATTGAAAATAACGTGTCGTCTTGATTTAAACATTGGATCAGCGAGTATTATTTAATAGTATTATTAAAGCTTACGTTGTTCTTTGCTTTTTTATTTTAATATTTTTTTTTGAACCAATGTTTAAAAATGTAAATTCACGTTGAATAAAACTTCTAAAACGTACCAATATATGTATATTTTAATACATTTATTGTACGTCATACTACTAAAATGTGTATTTTTCTTATTTCTTTTTTTTAAAGAAAACAATTCGTTTTACCATTAGACACTCTTCCAGGTATACCTGTACTTGTCGATACTACTATGCTTTAAAAGGAAATTATGCAATTTGTGTCTTAGCACGAAAAGATTTATTTTTCTAGTAAAAAAAAAAAAACTTGAACCGACGAATTAATAAAAATAAATTCTTTATATTTTATTACTTATGTACTATGTATTTTATGAGCAAACGATTAAATTATAAAACACGAATTCGATAATAATACGCGCAGTATCAGTGCAAAACAAATCGATCTCGTGATACACGTACGAACACATTGAATAATAATTAGACACACGCGATGCACGAACAATAATTCACCGCGAGAGAAATCGATAGTATATAATAAAAATTGAAACGTGATACGATTGATTAGAACGGCAACAGAGCATGTGATTGTTATAATATTTAAGTCAAAGCCCGCCGCTGGTACCTGAGTATCTTAGTACTGAGTTACAAACTGTGATGCGGACACCGGTGTGGTTGCCGGCAGCCGCGGTTGGTTGACGATAAAAATACAATACAAACATATCAGTAATAAGTTAATTCGACTTGTTTTTAACAATTAATAATGGCCGACAGATCGATACAGGAACTTTCTCCTAGTTTAGTTGTGCCTATATACACGAGCCGTAAGTACTTTTTGTTGCGAAAAAGTACACGTTTTTATAATATTTTAATTTTTTTTTTCTGATTTATACACAGTCCGTTTTATGTGTAGCTCCGAATAGCGAGGCCTACGCAGTGCACGTGTACTGCTGCTTGCATCATGATTTTATCGAACCGTAATTGGTGACGCTTTCTGAGTCCTTCAACGCGCTCTCGTCTCGGCCTTCGCAATCCATTGCGGGTTTTTCGGAATTCCTCGTCTCCTTTCTGTGCTGCGTGTAGAGCCATCTGCAGGAAAAGAAAGATAAAACGTTATTTTTAACACGTAACGATAACAGTATTGCATAACATCTGTAGTCGTATATTATGGATACATACGAGTATATTTAACATATGTTTAATCTACAGAAAAACAAAAGATAACATTTTAAAAATTAAATTTTTCCATTACATAATTAAGATAAGGGCCTCCGTAGAACTAAACGCCTAAACCTATTTACTTTTAAAATCTGAAAACCTATGGTTGCATAATATTTGATTATGAATATTTTGTGATACAATTATTTAAATAGGAATAATAATAAATAATTAACAATAAGAGAGTAAAGTTTAAAATAATATAAAATTTTTTTGTTTTTAATAACATTTACTTAGTATAAGCGGACAGTATAATTATGTAGAAATGTAATTATTTTACTATTTGCCAGGCATTCAGTATAATACTGAAAATGACTATATTTGATGTATGAATCACACAGCGTTTTTGGACAATCGTTATTGTTAATAGTATGTAGTACATTAATTTATAATTATTCGTTTCAGACGATTTAACGGAGGCGGATTTAAATAATAATCGTATCGTTTTATGGTTTTTGTGTTTAATGGCTTCTCTATAATTATTGATTACGTAACTACATGGCCAGTGTGCGATGTAAGAAAATAATACATTTCATTAAATAGATTTCATCACTGTTAATAATATTAATAATATACCTATCGTAAACTATATTATATTTTAAAATTTTAAAACGTGATTTTGTTAATTCATCACTAGGGTTCGGATGTTTGTGAAATTGCATATTTTTACTGTTGGTCCGATTTAATGCGGACCTGGATACAAATTCGATTCATATTCAACTGAATTAAATAATACTATTGTTATTTTAGATACTTTTGTGTATTTAATGGTTTTAAACTAGAGCTCTAAATACGCGTGTCACATAAAATATATTTTTATTTAAAATATATATCCGGTTGGTAATAATAAAATTAGTAATTTTGTGTTGAGTACTTGAAGTTTAAATAAAATATTATTCGTACAGATTAAGATTAGGGAATACGTATTTATTATTGATTTGAAATGTGATACGTGAATTCATATGTGTATTAAAATTTCTATTTTAAATGTACATTTTTGGTATTTTTAGAATATGAATGCATATTTCAGTACATTTTTGAACTTTTAATTGATAATTTAAATTAACTCGTAGATAAATGATAAATTATTGATCCATATAATTGTGTTTGTCCCAAATATGGTATGTTTAGATTCAGAAATGATCAAATTAAAAAAAAACAATCGTATTACAACAGTGGCGTAGCTACACAAGAAAGAGCCCCGGTGTAGACATATGGTCTACCGATGAATATTATTTTTGAACATCTCATCATTACAGTCATATTTATAATCTACACGCATACAAATATAATTATTTCGACGGAAATAAACAAATATAATGCATTGTTTTCACAATTATCTTTGTTTTGTATAGTATATAGAGAATATAATATTTATGCATATTTATTCAATATACGGCTTAGCACTATTTATAAAATAGTGTTCGCCGATTTTAAGATCTATACTTACATATAAAGGAAAATAGTAGGAATAGTTATGGCTGCGGTGACCAAGTAATATGCACCTGGGAAGTATGACACGGTGGATTCATACACGTAACTATACAAAGGCCCGCACAAAATAGGTACGACATTTTCCCCAAGACTGGTGACTGCGCCCACTTGACCTGAATAGAAAAAAAAAATTTTATAACCGAAAAAGTAATCGGTAATAACTGCTACGAATCTTAATACAAAGCAGGTATACGATGTGCGCATTTGGCCATGGTTACTCCGTACTAACCGAGTTCTGCGGCTGGAATGATTTTGTTTATAATCGATTTCATGGATATGATGGCCGGTCCTTGTAAAAAGTTCACGAACACACCTGTTAAAAAATTATAAGTTTATCGTTGTCAAATACATAATATAAACTAAATCGTTAAAAAGTTTTAAGTCAATATAAACTACTTAGATATAGCTTTAAACAGTTAACATTATTTTACTGATTAAAAAAACAATAGAGTGATGAAGTTGTGTAAGTGGGCGTATATCATTAAAAACAATTTAACTAGTTAAATTTAAAGTTAGTCAAAAAAATGTTTTATAACCTTTTTAGATTATAGAGTTAATATAAAATGTTTGACTCGTTGATGCTCACTCTTACACCTGTATATGCGCATATGATAGAATTATCAGTTATGATGTTTACAGGCGATGGGATATGAGATGTTAGATGAAGATATCGTAGTGGTTATTTAATTTTCTTCATCGTATATCACTTACCCGAATAGAAAACGGTTTCAGTCGTAGCAAAAGCGAAGACGAACTGAGATAGAAATTTCCCAGTAGTAGCCACGGCACCGATCAATGCGTCGTCAATGCCAAATTTTCTGATAACGACTCCGAGGACAAAAAATGTTCCTGCATAAAAGAACAAGTAGATCGGTTACAGTATAATAACATAAACTTCACGCAGACCAAGTCGATCGAAATACATTGTATAGGTAATAAATTGTATTTTGGAGTAAAATGTTCCACTTACCCAAGAGATTGACACACATAGCAGTTGTGGAGAACACGCTAAATTGCAGTTCGTTCCAATTAAACTTGACTCGAGTGAACAGATACACGACGCCTTTGTCGCCTACATTATAGTAAAAACATAAAAAATTATTAGTTTCACTTTCAGTGGTGTTATTTTTAAATTTTAAAAGTATTTTTAGTTTTTTTTTTATATTTTTTTTATGAATATCAATATTTATTTATTTTTAGTAGTTTTAAGGGAAAGGGAGTAAAGTGGTTATATGTTCCTCTACAAAGCCAAAACTGATTTCAGTTCATTTTACGATTAATGTCTTTTTACATTGTATTTTAAAGCCAATGTTTTTTTTACTGCTGTGTTAAAATTAAAATAAAGTTTCTTTATGAAAACATGTTTGTAATTACCAAACTATTAAGATAATGAAATAATTATTATATTATTGAACTATCTAAGATATCAATGATGAAAAATATATTATTATTAAAGTCAATCAATCAATGAACAATGATTACAGAAATATGATCGTGATTAATGTTGTTTACATGGTATTTCTAACAATGTATAATTTTAAAAATATATATTATATAATGGTAATTTTAAAAAATAAACAAATCTATGTTTCCATTTAATTACATTGAATTATCTTTCTTGACAGACTACAAATGCTTGATAAATGCTGAGAATTTATGTTAACAGATTAAGCACCAAGTTGATAAATTGAATATAACTCCACGTAGGGTTTTGAAGCCCTAATATATTAATCGATTAAATTAATACATTTTAATCATCATTATCAGGGCCGACCAGAGGGTGGGGCAGAGAAGGCTATAGATCCTCAGGGCCCGTACGTCCGAGAGGGCCCATCGTCTCAGCCTTTTATATAATATTTGTATTGTACTAAAGTATGTACAAGTAGTATGTATATCTTGGCCAAACAAGTGCAAGTAAAGAGAACCTGGAACCAATCGGCCCCGACGTCCTCAAAAGTTCTCGTCGGCCCTGGCAATTATGAGTTAAATTATTAATTAGTAAAAAATTATAGTTTGCTTTTACATACGAGTACAATAGAAAAATGTTGAGTTTATTGAGTTAATTGTTCATCGAATACAAATTTTAAAACTATAGGTACTTACAATTCATTGTTTTTATCGAATTGTAACAAGGTATTTCGGTCTATGACTTTTAAAAATATTTTTAAACTGGTTTTATAGTGGTGGCGAGTTCTGTTAATAGTTATAAATATTACGCATACGAATATAAATTTTGAATAATATTATAATTATGCAACATTTGAACAGCTTTAAAGTTATATTTAGCGCCCGGAACCAGAAATATATACATTCCTAAAGGTTATATAATAGTTTATTTTAGTTGAAATAGTAAAATGTTCATAGTCATAGCAAACATTATTATAATAATAAAAATAAGAGGGGGTTTCGTAGCCGATTACATTAGATGGTTGAGCCTAAACTCATTATCATCGAGTTTCGAACCAGGTCGTCGGTGGTCTCGCTTTTTGAGCCACCGTCGTAAAAGAAAAAAATGCTCTACCCTCAAACTAAAACCAACTACTACCACCTACTTAACTATAAAAATAATAATTAAAATAATCAAATTCTGAAGGCGAAAACACGCTGTGTCTATTGTCCTGTAAGGCAGTAAATAATTATTATTTATTATAAATAATAAATAATGGTTAGATCAATTATTCTCTTGTTTATGTGATTTTAAAAATATTTTTAAAAACATTATCAAGTATTTTACATTGATTAGTATATTACAGTGATAACAATGATTAGTAATCGTGATTAGTACAGTGTGTTTTATAGATTAATTTTCTTAGTTTCTCATTTAAATTTTGTAATTTAATTAAGCAATTTAATATCGAAGTATTCAAAACTCTCGGCATTTTAATTCAAGTGATAAATGATATCTTCAGGTCAACGACTATTTCAGTAATTATTGATCATGATATGTTTATAAAAGTACATTAAAATTAGATTAAATAACCAATTTTCATAACACTATTTATTGTCAATTTTAATCTATTCTAAATAATTGTACTTAAACAATATAATATTTTTTAGAGTTACCAAAGTTAAAAACCGTGTACCATAGTATTGAGTATAATATATGAAAATATTAATTCTACAGGTTAAATTTTTTTTCTTTCCTTAGTTTTATAGTTTCTCGTTATTGCATTTGATATTGTATATAAGTTACATCGTACATCACTTATCAATATTTACCAAGCCAACTTGCTGGAAATAGCCAAATGTATGTGCACAAAATAGGGGATTCCTCTAGAATTTCATGTACAAAGATTAAAGTTTGAAAGAAGATAGTATTATGAAATGGATGGCGACCGTCCACTTGATATTACACAAAATAATTTAAGAATTAAGATTAGGTTAGTTTTTCTTCTAGTCATTGATATAATAATTTTTCAATTAGATAATCGATTTTAGGGTTTAAAAAGAATAATTGAATATTTTGATTTTTTAAATCCTTTTTCATTGGTTAATACTACGGGAGATGATAATATTAAAGCTTCCTATGATTTTGTCCATTTTTATAACGTCAATATTGGCTCAGATTTCACCAGACAACTTTTATGCAAAAAAATTTAATAAATTTAAAAAAACTAAAAATATAAAACAACTAGCCATGTTTATTATTGAAAATGATTTTTGTACTACATGTAGACAGTGGTGTATCCAGGGAGGGGGTTAGGAGATTATAATCTCCCCGAATATTTTTAATGTATAATTATTGTCTATTGATTATAATAAAAACACACAAAAATTCAAAAAAATGTAATGTTAGATTTTTTCTAACCTCCTCTCCAAAAAAAAAAAAAAAATTCTGAATACGCCGTTGCATATAGTGAAATATTAAGTGCATGTATTGTATACATAAAATTATCAGTCACGGTTGCATCAGCGGAACGTACATTTTCGAAGCTTAAATTAATTAAGAATTATTATTAGGAAAATCAATAGGTCAAAATTGTTTTCTTAAATATCGAAAAAGAACAAGCCAATATCCAAGATATGGACAAAATCATCAATCAATTTACTGAAACCAAAGCAAGAAAAGTTAATATACTTAGTCAAATAATTATATTTTAAATTTAAAATGTTTTTTTTTTACTTAATTCTTTCTTAATAAATTTTGTAATTTTGTTATTATTAATTATTATTAAAATCAGGGGTGTATTTATGGGGGGGGGGGGCTGAGGGGGCCCGGGATCCCTCCGAAATGAAAAACACCATTGTTAAAGATTGTTATTTTTATCATGGATATGTCTTAATGCTGAGGGTTTCTGAAAATTTGTCGCGACATTGAGAATGTTCTTTATGCGATAATTTAAAATTTTATATTTATAAAATATGTTTATTCTTTTAAGAAAATATGTGCTGAATTTTGAGGGACTCTAATAAAAAATTTGTTTATTACAAAGTAGTTTAGAAATAATCAATCAATAAAAAAATTGAGTTTCTTATTTTTTTGATGGTGTAAAGATTGTTGAGAAGTCTTATAGTGTTAAAGTAATTTTTTCGTAATAGTGTGCTTCCTTCTTCCCTTCCACCCTAAAATCAAATACATAATCGGCCCCCTCCGAAATAAAAACTTATATACGCCACTGATTAAAATATAACCATAAATCATGTACATAGTATTATTTTGCTGATAATGAATACAAATTATGTCAGTATTAAAAAAAAAAATTAATTCTAATCATAGGACCCTAGATTTACTTTGTTTTCGGGGCCCAAAAATCCTAGTCGAGCCACTGGCAGATACATTAGGGGACATACTGCGGCGGTAATTCGGCAGCGATAAAATATTGCCGCGGGATATTTTTAAAAACCGCAGTATACTCGATTTTACAGCCACCGCGCAGCGGTATTTTCTATTGATATTTTTAATTTTTCCCCAAAATCAATGTTAGTATTTCAAATAAACTTGTATTATTAATTATTATTTTAAATTATTTAATATTATCCTATAAGATTATGAAAATATGTGTAATTAAACGAAATTAAAATTACTATTTTTTTTATTCATTATTAACTAATTTGTTTTTGTATGCTTGTAAGTGGATATCATGTATTTAAAACTAAGGCGCATAAAATAATATTTAAAAAATACGATAAAATGTTTAAAATATTCATAGATACTTATTATAACATTTCTCAATTTATGAGAAATCGCGTCACGCATATCTAGATCTAATTTGGGTTCGAATGAAATGGAATTTTGCAATGTTTATTTTTAATTCAAAATTATTTGAACAAAACCTTTCTGTTTAGTTTAATCATTACTGATTAACGTGTATAGTGCATAATAAGTATAATATATTATTTAATTTAATTGAAAATAATTAATTAAAAAATAATCAGTATAATATGTATAATAGTAAAAGTACATAATATAGTAATAACGTACTACATATATAGTTAAATCGTCAGTTTATCAAATAATTTATTATATTACACGGGAATGTACAATTATTATGAGATACATAAATATATTATGTTTATACTGAATAAAAATCGCTACAGTCGCAATGTGTTCAGGTAAGCGATTTTAACACCACCACCGCGGCAGTGTGTGGGGACCTTAACATGTAAACTACTTAATTATGAAAATAATAGATTTAAGGCTTTATCAGAATTGTACCAAATCCAATGTGGATTAATGATTGGGTGTGTCAACTATTTCGACATTATTAGAAGTTTTTTTTTCTCCAATATTCAATTAGTAGTCATGATTAACGTATGTACCTTGCAATGGGCCCATAATTCCAGTGATCAGTATTGTCAAGACGATTACTTTTGTCCTCCTATTGTTCTTCGCTTTCTTGAACGTCACTTTGAACGCGTCAACAATGTGTTTCAAGTCAAAAAAGAATTTGGCTTTACTCCAACAAGACAAGTGACGAGTCTTTTCCGATTCGGTTCGCACTTGCATGGTGTCGTGGATGCACACGTGAGCCATCCAAATGCTGAATAAACAAAGTACAATTGCTATGCAGTACACCCCGACAAATCCGACTGTACGGAATAATATACCGGACAGGCCAGTACCGATTGGGAGACTTAAAGCCATTGTTGCGTTCACCAAACCCACTCTTATGGTTTTATTTTTGTCCTGTATAGAAAAAATAAAAGATTATTATGTACATCGGTTGTTGATTAGATGCGATCAGGACAACGTTATTCTACGATGTCGTGAACTTTGTCAACAATTCATGGTCGACATGTATGTAAAAATAGAGAGCGATCAATGACGATACTGTAGATTAAATCAAAAAAAGCTGCGTGCGGAAGATTCTCAAAACAATTGTTAGATATCGGTAATGGGAAAGTTACTACAGATGAAACGGGATGCATACAATTACCGACCGATTTCTGAACAATCATTGACTCGCAAGATACTCTCATTGACCAGATATTTCTCAATGTACACAGACAATACAAAAAATCATGAGTGGCTGGCAGAAAGGGCAATTTTAGCAGCAAAAAATGTGGACGTCAACGAATTTAATCTCAAGATACAACATTTGTTACCAGAAGACTTGGTGTCATACAAATCTATTGATACAGTTTGCGATGCTGCTGAAGCTGTAAATTATCTAACAGAGTTTTTAAACTCGTTGGATTTACCAGGCATGCCATCGCATAATTTAAAACTGAAGGTTGGATCTTCGGTTATTTTGCTTCGTAATTTGAACCCACCACGGTTGTGCAACGGCACGCTATTATTCATTAAAAAATTAACGAAAAATGTTATGGAATCCATCATTTTAAATGGCAAATCCCGAGGTGAAAATATATTACTACCGCGAATCCCTATTATACCCACAGATGTGGCGATACAATATAAACGCATTAAATTTTCAATTAGATTGACATTTGCTATGACTATCAATAAGTCTCATGTCCAAACGATGTCTGTCTGTGGCTTAGATATGAGCACATCATGTTTTTCACACGGACAACTATACGTGGCATGCTCTCGAATCATTCAGTTTGTTTGTGTTGGCGAAAGATGGAATAACAAAAAATATTGCACCCTCGGTTGCATCATGGGATTGATATTGTTTTTTTTTTTTAATATTGTCATAATTAGCGATATATATATAATTTTAAAGGATCAATTTTAATAAATTATTAAAAAAAAATAAAAGTTTGATATTTTTTTCATTTTTGTATTTCGTCACCGTTAACAGCACTCCATACCTCTTCCACTTATATAATTTAAATTGAAGTGAATGATTGTGTTTTCTTAAACAAGTAATAGTAACTTATTATTCAAGAAAAGCTATTAACACATAAAATCAAAATTATAAACAATTTAAATATGTTTTTTTATCGTAATTATTTTTATAACTATGTGGATAGTATAGAATTCTACTGAAGAGATTACTTCATTTAAAAATAATATTGTATAATGTTATATTGATGATGAACAACAGCAAGCATATACAAAGTTCATAATTAAAATATTTAAATTAATATAGATAATAATTATAATACGTATTTACATAACATAAGACATTAATCAAAATCTTCTGACTATGGATTAAATCTCAAACTGAAATATTGAAATACTAATTAAAATTATTAAAACAAATTTTAAAAGGTAAAACATTTGATGATCATTTTTTTTTCGAGAAAGCAACGTTTAGTTTACAAATTTTCTATAATCCAAGTCTTAGGGTTTAGGTCAATAATAAATAATAATCACTTTTAATTTATCAGTACCGACAACTGAGAAAAATTAAATAGAAAAAAAATAATAATAAATTAGCGTTATTTTTATTTATAATTTATACATAATAATATCTAACTACACGTTTTATACAGATAGACGAGTCTTGCTTACGAATAAAGTGATGGAATAGTAAATTATGTTATCAATATGGTCTTGGAGTAATATTACTAAAAATATGTATTATAGAATTTGTTTAAATGTCTAAAGACCAATTATTTGTATAGGAGATTAGATAATTATTAGTTAAATGTTTTTGAAAAAATGATTAATGTATTATAGTTCTATTAAAACCTAAAAAGTGTTTTTTTGAACCGTGTCTCATCAAAGTATGAAACAAATGATTTTAAAATGTACATAATTTTTCTAATTATTGATAATATTTAGAACAAATATTATTTAACATTGAAATTGTCAGTTTTACTATTTCGTACGTATAGTTTTGTTACTTTCATTGTGCAAAAATTAATTGTGATTATTAAAAATAATTTGATCTTAAGCTTACCGTACTGACATCTCCAATGTATGAGAATACAGCCATGAAAATAACAGTCCAGTATCCTGTAACGGCAATTGTCAGTGATTGCCATAGACCAGACACTTCCATTGGTAGTTCATCAAAGAAATAAACACACACCAAAAGTCCTATGTTTCTGGCAACCTCTCCGTAAATGGGCAATAGCATACAGGGTCTTCTCAATCTGTTTCTATCACTCCAGGAACCAAGGAACAGAACTAACACGGCGGGCAAGCTGCTTTGTAGGATTGTCTGCCAAATTAGCATGTTGGCAACCAATTTTTGCACTATTATCTCGCTATCAGTGAGGAAAATGGAATTTTTTTCTTTATTCACTAGCTCTTCGCATACATCATGACTCAATTTCAAGTTGACTCTACACGCTTTTTGGATATTTAAATTTTGATTAACTAATATAACCAAGATTGAGGCAATTAAATATGGAAATAACATTGGTTCGACGGTTATATTTTTCAAAAACGATTTGAGCAAAGATTCTTTTTCTTCCTCAAAAGTTTTTCCATTTTCTTTAATCTTTTGACTATGTTTATCGACATTAATCGTATCACCCTTCATATTCAATGACATAACTATGACACTTATGAAACGTAACCTGAAACATATGACCAAGTATTATTATTATAGTACAAGTTAATGCAAACTGTTCACAAATATTTATTCTTAAATTTAATTTTACTTCTGTAATAATGCTTGGTTTTACAATGAGTTTTTCATCAAGTAAGTTATTTAATAAATTAGAAGTTAATTAAACAAGTTGTACACGTTTTAAAAGATAAGTATTCATTCCAAGTAGCAAGATTTGAACGTGTTTCTTTTAAATCCATGATAATTACATTATTCTTATTACAAAATGTTCTGGTCACGTAGCAAACTGATTTTCCTCCGCGATTATTCAAAATTATTGTGAAAAAATAAACGGTTTCAAACATTGTAATTGAAATAATAATTAAATAAAAATAAAATGTAGCCTATAAAGTGCCTACATAGAAATGGCTGCTTCTTTATCTCGTGATTGTTTAAGTCATAAAGTATGAGTCTGCATGCTTTATTGTGCCCCTTCATTTCAGATTGAATGTTTTAATGAATAATAGAAACATAAATAGGTAGCACAATTTTTGCCTTTAGTTTTCGTTTCACGTTATATATAGTGATTTTGAAATGCCATAAATATTTTTTCAAGGATTACATTTATATAAAACACACATATTACAAACAGCACTACTACTAACTGTTACTCAGCTAACCCCCAAAAATTATTTTATCTCTAAAACTATTATTCATACAATTCAAGCAACACCGTAAAAATACTCAAAACGTGATCTGTTAACCTGACCAACTAAATGTTTATCATACCGTAGTAAACTCACTGGAAAGTCTCTAAAATTTATCGTAACTGTTTACAATTTATCTATTAATTTTGTTATTATTTATAATTTGTTTTATTGTGTAATGGATAAAATAAAATACATTTAAAAACAAAAAAATCTAATTTTTACTAATCACATTTTATTTGATCATTTTGACCATATTATATTTTTTCATAGTTTTGACAAAACGTGTATCTAGGTTAGAAATATCCTTCTCGTACTTTTAAATACGTAATCAACAAATTAACAATAAAAATATAAAGTGTAAATAAGAATCTCTTCGTAACTGAATATTTCATTAAAAATAGTATATTCTATTTTATTATACGAGCATCATAGCACGAGCATTTATGTATAAAAATTCAAAATGGTATGTATAAATAGAGTATACGATAAAAAATATAAAGACGCATTATTTTCATGAAATTTCCGTCTCTTCTGTACTCTCCAGTCTTTATTTTCATGCGGTCGGCTAATGAACTACATCACATTCTTTCTATACTTTTAAAAATTGTGACAGATATTAAAGAACTATTAGGTATTGAGTTACAGTACCTAGGATCACAAACAGACAAAAAGGACGAAACAATAATCATTCAGGGACAATCGAAATATATTATAAAATAAATGTTTATTATCCATTTCTTGACTATGTGTTATGCAAACTAGCAGCCAAATTTTCTAACCATCACGGAAATTTTGGGAACCTCCAGATCTTACTGCTAAAATGTATTAAAAATAAGAATGATGCTAAAAACAAATTGACAGAAATCTATAAGATATATGTGCTAAATGAAAATGGATATTTGTTGAGTGAGTATCAAATATGAAGCAAGAAGTGAGAAGAAATAAGTGATGACTTAAATGAGTTAAAAACAATTGAAACATTGGTAAAGTGTGATAAACTGTTTTTTCCTTTTAAAATGTTGGCCTTTCTTCCTGTGTCTACTGCGATTGCGGAACGTCCCTTTTCTACATTAAAACGCTTAAAGACGTATTGACAAAACATCATTGGTCAAGAGCGACTTACTGGACAAGTCCTTCTAAATATTTATAGAAATGTAATTTTTGATCCTTTATGAATTGTGAACAAACTAATACAACGTAGGCAACGATTAAATTTACTTGTATAATATTTAATGGCTATAGCCCATAAGCGCAAGATATGACCCAAACGCAACCCAAAAGCGCAAAAAAAATTACCATTTTAACAACCCATAAACGCAAATTAATTTTACAAAAAGGAAGTGTATTTTATTAAAATAATATAATTATTAAGCTTTTAGTGATTATAAAATTAATTAAAAAAATTGAAATTTAAATGATATATCAGTAGTAGGTATAATATTATAATGAGTACCTTAAATAAATATTAATATTAAATTTGAAATTTGAAGCCAACATTTTTCAAATAGTCTAATCTGGAAATATTTTTTTCTGTATACATGTTCATTGTATTTATATTGGAGTCGACTTTAGAGCTGCGTTTTGTGGTTTTTTGCCTATTTGACTGCATTTTTAAGTAAACTTTTGTCTTTATAACTTCGGTTGTTTAAACACTTCGATACAATAATAAATAGATAGATATGGGTTATAAAATTGATCTTTCAAATGACGGTGGTATAATTCTGGACCATTAGTAACCCTTGGCTCATTTGAAGGTGGCTCAGCCTAGAGGTACGGTGGATATCTGCTGTCATTTTCAATAAAATTTGCTAAAATATAATCAGAAAATGCTGATACCTTATCATTATCAGGAGCAATAGAAAATAGTTCATAAAACGCATCAGATATTTCAGTGAAAGGTTAAAAAGCTAATCCAAAAAAAATACTTTAACCAATTCGAAATTTCTGATTCATTTTTGTCATATTTAATTTTAAGTCCCAATTTTTCAATTTGTCTGTACCAAGCTTGTGCTAGGTGAAACCGGTGACATTTAATTTGTTGAACTACGCTCAAACTCCACTACAAATATTAATTTATTTTTGTTTTTCTATTTTTCCAAAACCAGTATTATCATGATATTCATGTATGCGACCGTTAATAACACTTATCTCAATTTTTCAAAGTATTTGTATTTGTTCGATTTTGATTAAGGGAACAAAAATGTATAAACTTTAGCGTTTATACTTAGTTTTATTAAATCACGTCAACAATATTTCAAGATTGAAATAAGAATAACGTAATTATTATTTAATTCAGGAAAATAATTACTATGATTTTTCATGTCAGCGTGATTACTTTAAGTCCAGGGACGGATTTAGGAGAGGTTCAGGAGATTAGCTGATTCATAATTAATATTTGTTGATAAAATTGGCCTTATGAATACTTATATTTTTCTAAGTGTGCCGACTATAAGTTGAAGTTAAAACTAAACTGACAAATTTCCTAGTTTCGACCACCCTCTCCCACAATGATACCACTGGTTTAATTACATAGTAAAACAATATTTTTATGTCAGAACCCATGAGGGATCTTATAAAATAAGATAAATGTTTACAATGATAATTATTAATAAACTTAAAAAACAAATATTACATGATCATTTTGTTGTTTTGTTTCAAGAAATAAATTTATAATTCACTTTCAACTCTAAAAAGTTGCCTCTTGAAATAGCTTGACCCACAGTTCTCTAACTGTATATCTGTCAATGGTTGGGCACCTATTTCAAGAATAAATCTCAGGGCTCCCAGCAATTTCCGGGTATCCGTGTGGGCCAGATCGACACTAGGTTCAAGGCTGGTTGAAAATCGAATAACAATGCTTAGGGTACTTATGACACTGATTCATAAAGTGTTAAATTATGACTTACATCCACTGCAAGCATTTTTGAAATCTGTACGTTTTTATATAAAAAAAAAATTAAAAAGAAGTCGTCTAAAACGCCATCAGAGTTTAAGGATCCTAAAATGATTTCGTTACAGAGAAAAAGTGGTTTCTCACAAGCCACGATGGGTATATATACCTATATACGTACATAACCAGTTTTACTTTGTGAGGTGAAGTTCGTCGAAAATATGAGCATATATCTATAATTAACATTTCATAAATATTTCACTATTATTTATACGTAGTATGTACAATTATTTTTAATACTAACTTGAGATAACAGATAACAGTGTTAAGACTAGGAAAAACAACTCGGAGAGGTTTCTCGCTGTTCATACACATAAAAACGTAGTGGCATTGGAAAAGTACACTAAGGTAAAAATGAAGGATACCTATAAGTGCACGGAATCGTAAGACACAAGTCATATTTTGGTGGGGTCCTGTCGTGCAACTGGTATAACGAACAAAATTCATAAATGATTCCTATAAGGTGTATTTATTGAATTTCAAGATCAGTTAAAAAATGCACGCATCCATCGTATGACGTACGAGTATACCGACACGAGCATATTTTGTGATAGGTACTAAAACATACTTTCATCATAGATTTTTCAATTTTATTACGTAAGCTCACCGTTTTAAATCGCCGTTTACCTCCGCCGCCGTCGCGTAGTCTATTCAGATGAAAATGATTGCGTTTCACGTGCGTGGTTGCAACGGTTTATTATTACTCCCGTCGGTTAGGATTGTGCGTGTTAGTAAATAATGTGTATTTATCTAATGAGATATACACATATTACTGCGGTGGACAAATGACTGAACGATCGTCGAAATCAGTCAGTATTTCGTACAGTTACGCGTTTTACCCTCACATCCGGTCGGTCGTCTAGCTGCTGTGTGCACACGACGGATAAAATGTTGAATTAATGCGCGCGAACATGTCGGTCGGTTTTTATTTCTTATTCTTCGATCGACCGCGGCGCACTCCACGAACACCGAATGCCTTCGACGATGTGGTCGTTACTAAGATGGTTTTGCTCCGCTTGTGTCGCCGCCCCCACCGCCGCCGCCTCCGTTCGTAACCAGATTGGGATTACCAGGGCGGTACGTGTTGAACCATGATCCGCAATAGCACACACATGTCGACCGTGAGGTACAACGCGCGCGCTCACCGACTTCTTCCAGCGGTGCACCGGTGACCCGGTCACTGCGCTGTTCTGCGAAGTAAAATAAAAATCGCGTAAAATATATCTATTCAGCGTAACAGAACATATTTTAACTTCTCTAGTTTTTTTAATAGTAATAATTATAATAATAATAGTAATACAAAGTACAATTATAATTAAAATAATTTATAGACTTAACATCCGGTTTTCCTAATAATGAATTGTAACTAACCCACGACGATCGTCTGCATTGGCAGACTGATGTTTTCGGCGTAATAATTTACTATTAAATTTTTGAACTATAATTAATAGGTTATATGTAGTAGAATGTTGGACTTATGTTACATAAGTAAGACGCATATTTATATACGTAGAATATTTCTATTTTCTATGATATAAAGTAATTGAGGTGGCTAGATATATTGTGAAAGGGATCCCCCTAACCTAACCACTTATCCACCTAATATTTTGAAGGAAAAATTGTTCCAAAATAATATCCACGCCACTGCTTACAATTAAGTACAAATTGGATATCTATTGCCTCAAAAAATAATTTTTCGGAAAAGTCAAATTTTCATCTTTATTTCTTAAAACCTCTAGTATTTTGTATCCATATCAGTGTAAATGATGCAAGAAATCGTAACAATTGAGTACTATATATTGATATAAAAAAAAATTTGCAATTTTTTTGTGTTGGGGTGGCTGGGGATACGTGCATTTTGTAAGATGACAATTCGGCATGAAAATGGCAACGAATGACCGCTGATAATATTATATTATATGATACGAAAATATTTATATTTTATTTAAATGATCTCAGTATCTGTTGAAAAAACCTTAGTCCATGTAAAAAAAATATTTGCCTTACTCTGTCCTCCGCTGGAAAAAAAAATTCTAATGCCTTGTCTGTATACATATTGCTATTTTAGTCTACATTCAACACAGTAAAAGTTCTAGGAAGGTTTCCATCTTTTCCTGCCTGTCTACGTCACCGAGTGTATACCATACGGCGTTAGGTTTAAAAATTGGAGAAAATGTGTGCAAATGGTACTTGCCACCCATGGTGTATTATTAAATAGAATATATACAGAGTATATCAGTGGTTCCTAAACTGTAAGGCACATTTCTCTAGGCTTAGGCACTTATTGTTGGTGGCGCAAGGCAAATATTTATATTTTACACTACACTGTCCTATATTTATTTTTTGTTTTTATTAAAATAAAAAAAAAAATGTTTTATTTATCTATGAAAAGCGCAACTAAACATTTTTTGTTTTGGGAATGCGTGTACCAAAAAAGTTTGAGAACCGATGGAGTATACTGTTTTAAAACCTATGTAATCGTTGCTTTTCATATCAGACGATATCATCACAATAAGAATTGATTTTTTCTATTCTCATTATACATCACTTTTTCCCAAAATCTGATACATTGATTCGCTATCCTCCAAAAACTTCACATTTATTAAATTTATAATTACAATTACAATTAAATACATAATAAATGTTAATCTGTAACCCGGCTTCAAAATTTCAAAGACTGTGGGATTTTAATATGTAAAATAAACATGTACATTTTATACACAATTATAATAGTAGTAACCACTAGAATAATTATTAAAGTGCAATAATTTAATGTTGAATTGTCAATAAAAGACTAAAAAATAATCGCAATGTAAAAAAGATGAGAACACTTTTCTCTTATACAGTGGTAATAGTAAATAACATATCCAATGAAAACTGTAATATTCAGTGAATGTATTTACACATGATGTGCCCTTAATGATAATGAAATATCGTTTATTACACAGATACGACAGGGATACTCACTTTAATAAAAATATTTATGATTATTTCAAATATAAACGTGACCCATATAAATACAGCCACGGAAAAAATTGAAAACACTGCAAATTCTCTTGAGGGGGGGACCAGGGTGGCTGCGTTTTCAAATTTTAATCGATCACCACCGAAGGGTTATCGTGCAAATTCATACAAATTACTTACTACAACATGGCATTGAAAAAAAGTTGAAAACACTAAAATTTTCCTTGAGATGGGGCTGGGCTGACGTCACCCTAGCCCCACCTATGGTTTTCGTTTGGTAACGAGAAAACTAAGACTGTAAAAATTCGAAAAATTATTATACAAATTCCTAATAATTTCATACTAAATATTGCTGAAGAAAAAAAAAAGGTTAAGTTATATTCTATATTAATTTAATATTCCGTTAGAATGTAATTTTGTGAAAAAAAAATGTCCTGGAACACAAGAAGGTTGAGAATTACTAGTTTAGTCTTATGTTTCGTAAACAGAATTTAGTAATAGAGTCTTGTTATAATATACGTGTACCATGTATTTATCGACACAATCTACATATACTATATAATCAGGTGGTAGTACTACGCAGGCACTTCTTGTCCAATGTTTTATGTTTCCCTTGGGAAGAAAAAAAAACACAAAAAGTTTATTAAAAGTAATGATCCACTTCAAAATAAATTTTTATTTATTTTATGCTAATATGAAAATAAGTTATGAAGTAACGTCAAACCAACCAAATTAAAAACAATAATTTTTCCTGGCGATATATCCATGCCAGATTTCTTCAGCTTTTTAGATTTTTTTTACTACACTTCTCATAACGATTTAAGTATTACAACTGTTGATATTCACATACATACTATGTGAATACCGTTATATACTATATAAAATTCACATACTCAATCACAAACATCCTACGTTTTAAAATGACTTTGGTGCCGGGATCTGATTTATTCTGATCAAAGTACTAGGAAAACTCGCTCGAATAGAGTTTCATTTACTAAATAATTCTTGTTGTTACCAAAGTTAAAAATAGCACATATACATTTTCAAATATATAGGAAAAAATAAAAATAAAAAAATTATGAATTTTTATGTTAGCAAATTATACAAATTATTTTGAACCAAATTCCAAAATATTGAATTTTGAACCATTTTTTATTTCATTGAGCCACAAAAAAAACCTTTTAATTTAAAAATATTATAATTTATAGTTTTACATTACTGCTCTCTATTTAAACACGATGTATAATTAAATATGTTTAACAAGAACCCCATTTATTTGTATTATACTAAATGTTATCAGGCTTGGAGTATTAAAAATAAATTGACTTTCATGATATAATTATTTGTATTAAAAGATAATAAATAAATTGTGAATGGTTTTAATAACACAATTTAATAGTTCTGTCCAATAAGTGACAATTGACGTATGTTATGCTTATATTGTTTTAAAATTGTATTTAAGAATAAAGTTGATCTTATTAAGAACAGTTATTTAATTTTTTTTTTAAATATTAACATTAACTTTTTAACTTTTTGTTTATATAATGTATTAGAAAACTGCACAGACCAATAGATATTTGTTTAAATAATACCATTTTTGAACTGCAAAGGTAATATCACATTTAATAAATACATTTTTGTTATTATCTACACGAATTCAAAGTTAATCAATATTTAACAACGATTACAGTATTTTTAAAAATTTTTTTACTAACACTTAAAATTAAGAAAATTATATTTTTCAACATTTTTTGTTTGCAAATAGATATAATATATTCCGTGTGTTCGCCAATTTAAGGAATACTGAATTATTCTGTTTAATTACTTAGGTAGGTTTTTTTTTTACAATCTAGTGTATAAATTAACATTTATAGACACATTTCAACATTTATATAATTTCGGTTTGTGGATACACAGTATAATATATGTATTTTATAGAACCTCACCTACTTTGAACACCATATTCGGAAATTCCTATTATTTTAAAGTAAATGTAATGCATTAACTATGGTTCTAAATTCAAAATTGACTGAATAAAAGCCACTTCAATTTTAAAATATAATTTATTTTTTATGATTCATTAAAATGCCTAAGACCGTTTATGATTTTTTATTAGTTATTTTTTAAATATTTTTAGATATATTTATTTATGTGTTATAAATAAAATTGACATACAAAGAGTTAACTAAAAACTAAGAAAATGTTTAAATGTTTTTAGTTTATATTAGATGATTAACAGAAATTTTTTGTCGGTCAACAGAAATGTATGCTGAACAATACCCAGGTTATATTAATACCATTCACCACACACACATTTATTAAAATAGAAAAATGATTGATTAACCATGGAGCATATTTTATAAAAGTATTCTGTAGACTACCAAGAGTAAATTATATTAATGAAGATGTGGAATTTTAAGTTTTAATTTACATCAGATTGAATCTACAATCTTCGGTTAGACTGTTGTGATCGATTTTTAATAAATAATTTTCTATCCATATTATGTTAATCTTGTTTATAGAACTTTTTAAAAAAATACCAAAAAAAATATTTAAAAATCAACTTATAAAAAATAATTATAAATGGTTGATATATTTTAATGAATCCTAAAAATGCATTATTTTTTAAAATTCAAATGACTCTTATTCAGTCAATTTTGAATTTTGAACCATAGTTGATACATAAAAATGTACTTTAAAATATAGACCTATCCGAAAATTGGGTTCAAATAGGTGTTGTTATTTAAAAAAAACACATATTGTACTGCGCATTTGCATACTGGAATGATAAAATGTTAAAATATGTCTATAAAATCTATACTACTAGCTTGTAAAAAAAAAAAAATCGATTTATTCTAATGTAATCCGGCAAAGAAATTCAGTGTTCTTTAAATTGGTGAAAACACAGTTTATATATTATATAACGGTTTATTATATATATATTTAAATTTACGTTATGTTTTTTATTGACTAACCGCTGTAGTCAGCCCCTCTTTTTAGTGAACCCCGACAAAAAGTGTGTAGTCTAAAA